CACCTCGATACCTGCCTGAGTAATCACATGACCCAAAAAGGATACTCGCTGGAGCCAGAACTCGCATTTGGAGAATTTTGCAAACAACTTTTCTCGTCTGAGGGTTTCGAGTACCACCCTCAGATGCTCCTCGTGCTCCTTCTGGCTCTTCGAGTAGATAAGTATATCGTCAATAAAGACAATAACGAAATGATCGAGGTAGAGATGGAAGATACGGTTCATGAGGTCCATGAAAACTGCTGGCGCATTACTGAGACCGAAAGGCATGACGACGAACTCGTAATGGCCGTAACGAGTCCTGAAAGCGGTCTTAGCGATATCTGACTCCTTAATCTTTAGCTGGTGGTAGCCTGATCGTAAATCAATCTTTGAGAACACACAGGCTCCCCGCAGCTGACCAAATAAATCGTCGATCCTGGGAAGCGGGTACTTGTTTTTGATCGTCAACCGGTTAAGATCCCGGTAGTCGATGCACATGCGCATGGATCCGTCCTTCTTCTTAACAAAGAGAACGGGTGCTCCCCAAGGTGACACGCTCGGTCGGATGAAACCGAGTCGTAACAACTCCTGAATCTGAGTCTTAAGCTCCTGCAACTCCTTAGGCGCCATACGATACGGGGCTTTGGATATTGGACCGGCCCCTGAAATGAGATCGATAGAGAACTCCACCTGCCGGTTAGGCGGTCCTCCTGGAAGCTCGTCTGGGAACACGTCCACAAACTCGCGAACGATTGGAACATCACGAGGTGAGCGTGCTTTCTGAGAATCGTCGACAAGGCTCACCAGATAACCCTGGCAGTTGCCTCATCGCAATAACTTAGTGGCTTTCCCCATCGAAACAACATGAGGTAGTGAACGATTCCTTGAGCCAAAGAAAGTGATCGAATCGTCTCCCGGAAGATAAAAAGTGATCTCCCGGTTATGACACCTGATGTCTGCATGATAGAAGGATAGCCAATCCATTCCGAGAATAAGGTCGAAGTCCCTCATCTCGAGAACAAACACGTCGGTAGACAATAAACGACCACCGATGGAAAGGCTAAGATCTGAGGCTTTAGCTGAGGTTACTATCTTTCGTCCCGAGGCTAGAATCACCTCGAGAGGATCGACAGCGGTAACGGCATGAACTCCGATGGCATCAAGACATCGTCGTGATATGAATGAATGCGTTGCTCCAGTATCGAACAAAGCGAAAACAGGAATATCATTAAGCACAACCATCCCTGACATAGTACCTGGCTGCTGTGCTGCCTCTGCCTGATCAACCGCGTAACCCGGGCCTGTTGTCTACCCCTCTGCTGCTGCTGCTGAGGCGGCCTCTGTGCCTGCGGACGTGGCTGCTGCTGCTGTGGTGGCTGCTGAGGCTGCTGGGGCTGCTGCTGAAGTCTCTTCGGACAGCGACTCGCAAAGTGTCCAGGCTCGTGGCAGTAGTAGCAGATATCCTGACCCACGTGGCACTCTCCCCTATGAAGTCGTCAGCAAGTCGGGCACGACGGAACTTGCTGTTGTCTCTGTTGGGTCCTCCGGTCAGTCTGTGCACCCTTCCCCTTCCTCTTCTTCTCCTTTGCCGGCTGAGCAGCTGGTAGAGCTGGTGGAGTTGCGAATGGCTGAACTGGGGCGGATGGCTGGGCACGATCACGGACGGCCTCCCTCCTGATGCTAGCGTCCACCTCCTGGGCGATAGAAACTGCACGAGCGTAGGTCTGAGTTCCGTGTCCCACGATGTTATGACGGACTGCTGGGTAAAGCCCGTCGATGAACCGCTGCGCTCTCTGAGCCTCCGTGCGAACCAGGTCCGGTACGAAAGCTGCAAGTCTAGTGAACTCTCGCTCGTACTCATCAACTGTACGAGTGCTCTGCTGGAGCGCTAAGAACTGACGCTCCATCTCTGCCCGATAGTAGGAAGGGTAATACTTTTCGCGGACTAGCTCCTTGAGCATGTCCCATGTACACCCCACTTTTTCACCGGGACGCATGCTCCAGTAGGCATTCCACCAGAGCCTAGCATCACCAGTGAGCTGAAGCTGAGCGCAAACTACGCGATATCTATCGGGGCAGTCCATGACCTCAAAGATAAACTCCAAGCCCTGAATCCATTCATCTACGATGCGGGGATCTCCCTGCCCTGAGAAATTTTCAGCATGGTAGTCGCGGAACTGTGCGACTACAGTAGCCTGAGTAGGAGCCTGATGATCGGGTTCCCTACGTGGCGGCATCTGAACATTGAGAAAGTTTAACATTACTGAATACGTGATAACATTCTGACTGATTACTAAGGCACACAAATCTCTTGACGAGTCGCCAAAAGTGGCCGATAAATACTGACATGAAGCCTGAGGAACTCTAGAGTCATTATCTGAAAGATACTAAAGTCTAGAGTTATATCTGAATGCCCTGAATTCTAGAGTCATGTCCGAATTCTAAAGTCTGAACCTGATTCGAGCATCTTAACTAAAGTTCTGATCCTTAATTCTGAGCATAGACAAAGTAATATATTTATAACTGATAAACATAAATCAGCACTTACCTGTCGTCGGCGGGGCGTGAGCATGACGATTCAGGTTTTTCTAAAAATTACTGACTGAAAAACTTTTCAAAGATGCAGAAACGTGCTCTGATACCAATTGTAACACCCCACCTTACCGTAAGATCAGAGTGCGAAAATTTCGCAAAGTTATTTAAAAATAAAACCTTTTACTTTGCGAAAACTGATTCGGGGTGCTACCTTAAAAACGTGACTTAATTTGGAAAACCGTTATTAAATTTTTAAAAAAATTATACTGATACTGAAAGCTTAATGTTTTCCAAAAGTCCGGTCAAAATATAAGTTCGTCAAAAGTCATCATCAGCGGAAACGTAAATCGTCATAATAAATATACAATAAAACATGAAAGTCCTGAAGCCATCCTCTGCTCACGCTCCCTGCCCGACATCCTGACCTGAAAAACATGATAACAAGGGGAAATGAGCACTATGGCACTGTGCTCCGTGGAAACTCATACTAATGTAAACATTGAAAATAATAACAACATCATGATATCGGCATATACATAACCTCAACATCAAGCCG